AAACTGCATGAGAATTGGTTCAGTTGAGTTTTCCAATGTGCTGATCATGATTACCAAATCTATTCGCCCGTTACGGTCAAACTACAGAATTGCAGTAAACAGCCACTGTGGTCCAGCCTTACCTACCGAGTAACTACATAACCTACAGCTCAGATCGTATCATGTAGAAAGGATAGTGGCAGTTGTGGTCGACATGTCGAACAGCCCTCTAAATAAAGATCCAGCGAGATGCAAAATTCCGGAATTCGACAATGATTTTAGAATGATGCTACGAATTTCAAAAATCATAATAGAATGAAAAAAGAAAACTCAGCAAAAAAACTGTACAGAACCAGAAAAAAATAGTCAAGATCAGAATGCGACTACAAGTATAAGTATAGTATGTCAGCGCTATTCAGACAGTGTTGGCCGCAAAATTTCCCATGCTGTAATTACCTAGTGAACCTTCTTACACGCAACCATTCGCTCGCGGCATTTTGCTGTTGAAACACTGACCTCAGAACGCACTGTGAGCGGACGAAGTGCGCTAGGGGCCAGTCATTCACTTTTTCCACCAATTCCGCCTGTGCCTCAAAAATAGGTCGACTTTCCTACTATTATGCAGCACCAAGAAGTCTAAAAATACTTAAGGCATATAGAAGTGACGGAATTGGAAAAAAGTGTCCGATAACGCTTGTATGGTCGTGCGCTTAGTCTTTCGCAAAAGCCGCGGAGCAACGTGAAACATCCGCAACCGAAAACAACTGGGTCAAATGGAGGGACAAAATAGTTGAGTGCCCCAAACGTCTTTGACATTACTATTTCCACTCAAAGACATATATATTTATAGTCTTAAAAAATTCAGTATCAACCTTTGCAAAAATGCTACGGTATAAATCGATCCAACGCTATACAACAGTATAATAGTTAAAAGAATAAGAGCAATCCAGATATGATCAGCTAACGTAGAGAAACGTATTTGCAAACACAAATTTACTTGTTTAAGATTCATTCAATCTTCTAAAACACAGGGATCAAATGTTCTAATACCACATGAATAACACGTTTTGAAAAGGGATTTGTTCACAAAGGAATCCAATCCAAGAAGATTAAAACTACTCAAGATAACGATGTACATCCAAAGCTAGAAAAAAAGACACAAAACAACAAAATGAGATAACGTAAGATACAGTAAACTTCCACGAACATTACAAACAAAAAGCTTCACATAGTGATTAATTAAGTTGAGTGGAAAGTCAGCCGTACTGAATGAGGAATTAACCAAGCATTTGCTTTTGAACAATCTCTGCTGAGAATTTTGCTGCCTCTCGACGAACGCGTTTTTCGTATTCCGCCCTGGAGCAACAATTACTGGATATGGAAAGGAATCTGTCATAGCATTGTAAAAACTAAGCACTTTCGATTCCAAAGTGGAAAAGAACTTGCCAAGATGGATAAATGGGCAGTTAGTGTCAGATTATAACTTATACCTGCTTCATAACCTTACATACAAATCTGAATATAAACTGGGTGCCAAGCTACTTGGAGAATTGAATTGATACACTAATTATCAACGCTGGCAAGAGAATTCGTCATAAAAATGTTGCAACGGTTACGATCACATGTACTCTCTGCCTGAAATTTTGTCGAAATTAAAATGATTTCAGCAAAAGTTCAAACTGCTTTCGGAGATGGCAGGAGCAGGAATCTAGAGACGAACTATGAGAATTGTCGAATCTCGAAGTTAAATTTAAGAGAAGAGCCCCCGTTAGAGGATATGCATGGCTCCTGTAACCCTGCGCTAAGTGCTCAATGTGAAAGTCAAAGAAGAGAGGAATAACTAGAAGGGTGATTGAAAAGCGAAACTCGAATCCTCATTAATTCCAGAATTATTTGAAAAGTACTCTTATTTGAATTTAAAGAATATGTATCCATTTTGGTTCAAATCTCGGCTATTCAACTGAATCAGTCATTGAAACTTAAGAAAACTGTGAGCTCCATATTTTTTAAACAAACTGCTTGCTTCATTTTTCTTCATTCTTCACTTTTGGAAAAGGGCTCTAAAATCTCAATTTTTGAGATTTTAGAGCCCTTTCCCAAAAGTGTTCTACAGAATTGCAAGATTAACATTCGGTTGGTCAGAAAGCGTTTCATTGTTTGGTGAAGGAAGTCAACATTTGGTTTATGAAAATGATAGCAATTTTAAAGGTTTAATTGATTTTATCAAATTAAGAAAGGAGCCATAACAAAAGAAAATTATAAGAGACAGCGTGAGAAAGTGACTAGCCAGCTAAGCTTATTCAACAAAAATCAAAAATTGATGCTGCACCTCCTATACTTCCGATTTACCAAGAATTGACAAAAAGGAACGCAAGAAAGCAGTCAAGACGAACTCATCAAAACTGCAATTCTGTGTTTTTTCAAAGAAAAAAAGGAACTAGACCGCCAACCCTTAGGGAAACGAAGAGCAAAGAAAAAAGAAAAAAGGTTGGAAAATTACCTATTCTGACAAAAGATCTGATAAGCTTCAGCTTGTGCAGGGTCGTCAGGATTCGGATTGTTGAGTAGATCTTGAATTCCTATCAAAAGCTGTTTAATGGTAATCGACGGTTTCCAATCCTTGTTCTCGTCTAATAGTGATAAACATACAGTTCCTAGAAACATAACATTTTCGGCTTGATAAATCCTAACTGCTTCAAAATGAATAAAAAGTATGATAACATTTTCGGCTTGATAAATCCTAACCGCTTCAAAATGAATAAAAAGTATGATTGAATAATCTGTTATCTAATATTCTACATTGTTCGGTAAGCGTCACTTACAAATTGACACATCTATTAACTGCTTTTCGATCAGCTTTTCGGCTAAGCTTTTTGAAAAGCATACCCAAGAGAAAAGTGAAAAGATACTTATCTAGACAAGATGAGAACTGTACAACTGTAGGTATTAAGCCAAACTATAGAGCACACCCTCATTATAAAGTACATGTGAAGAATCTATTACTACATGTGGTTGCTGTCGTTGCTTACTTGCAAGCACTAGAAGGACGAAATCAAACTAGTGAAATCGCTAAACCAGGTCTAAAAACAGTCTCTAAGTTTCTCATAGGAATAGACAGAAAGAAAAATGGATAGAAACATATAAAACTTCAAAGGCAAAGATGACCCCATACTTTCTTCCAATGAAATGGTAGCAAGATAAATTTTGAGAAACGCGTGTTTTCTCTGTTTATATTTGATAGTATATACAACGAACCGCGAATTAACTGGATGTAGCCTATCTGTTAAAAAATAGCATATTACAAAGCAATGTTTTCAAATAAACTGGAAGTTTTGAGATTCAATACAAAGTAATACCAGATGTTCAAAAGCACGTAGCAGCATCTCAATAACTACTATTCATTTATATGCCCGAAGTATTTTCGCTAAAGTCTATTTATGGGAGGCAAGATTATATATGAAATGAGCAAAACTCACTGACCTGAAGGGTATACATTCGGATGGAATAAAGGTGGTTCAAATTTGCATTTAGGTGGAGTTGAAGGAAAATCGTCCTTGAAAAGCATACGAATCTGCAAAAATGTGTTTATTGTAAAGAGTCTTTGAATGTGACCTAATTACCTTATACAATCCGCCTTCCCATATAGTATCTTTTTTGCCTGGAATGGCACATTCCCAGTTGAATAGATTCAAAGTTCCGTCGGGATTCTTCACAGGCTTTGCTATAAA